GAATGCACCCAATTTCTAAAGAGCACATGAAGAAACATGAGAACCACATGGAGAAGAAGGAAGCTTAGGAGAAAGACAGCCTGGCAGTGGGAGCCAATCTCCCCAGGACACATCAATACATTCTGGAACAGGCAAGTGAACTATAAAGAAGCTGAACAACTTTATGGGCATGGGCTTAGAAGGAAACAAATGATCTTCAGGGTCAGCCAGCAAAGGTGAGCCCTAGTGAAACCGCGGGCTTTGGCTGGGACCCAAGAGAGTTACACCTAAAAAAATCAGGTGGATGGGAAATACCCTGGCCTTCTTAGGGACTGGGCTACAGTGAGGGATGTCAGTTGTACACTGGATGAAGGCATCCGGGACTGCTGGAGCCCCAACCCACTTTCCAAAAAGAAACTCCCAGTGTTACTGCAGCAAGAGAATTCCATTTTTCTATCCACATTATTGACCCAAGTCTCGTACTGAACCAAAAGTGACTGAATATAGGGCTGACAAGAACATGAGATGACACTGAAACCAAAGGACAATGCAGACAGACCCAGAGGGGATCCAGGTATCAAAGTTTGTAATGATGGTACCTTTCCCCTTCTACTCCAAGGAGTCACACAGCAAGCGCGACAAGCAGTTAGCACAGAAAGGGAAACGCAGGTTACACACATAAAGGCAGGACAGGCAGGCACAATTCTACAGAATGCATTTGGCGAAAATACTCGAGATCTAATTCTAAAAGAAATACAGGTATCTAGACAGGCCGTCACATAACTTCATACAACAGTATTTGTGACAATTCACACAGGAAGAGCTTACCCTTCTGCAGCCACTTGTCTTTGATTAGAGAAATCCACCACAATATCCACTTTCCTCCTCAGCATGTTCAATTCGGCTTCTTGAGCTGTTTTCAAAGAACTGAGGGCATTGTAGTGGTCTTCCAATAGCTCCTCACATTCTGGAAAGGAATGTGTATGTATGTGCACATGACCGGAGAACTTGGGTTTGACGGGGAAAGGAGAAGGGCAAGACCTTGAAGGCAGGAAGGCATTGTTTCCCTTCCCAATGCCAACTCATTGCCACCTTATGGGGATTTCTTACCCCAAAATACCATACCATGCATTGCTCGTTTTTTGGCCCTCGAGGCTCTCTGCTCTCCATCCTCCAATTCATCTTGGCCCTTTAAGACAGATATGAGTAAACACATTCAAGACATCATGATCACAGAACAATGTGAGGGTGCCTAACAGGACAGGGTCATGCAGTGCAACAAAGAAAGCCCTTAAGGCATAAGAGAATCAGGAGAAAGTAAGCAAAGTGGAAAATAGTTCCAGTCAAAGAACTCACAAATGCCTTTCTTAGTGGCTTCCATTCAAGTATATATCCACATACATACATATATACACATCTTCCCCTCCTCACATTGAAAATGCTCTGTTTGGCATTAAGAGGAAGGCACTGTACAATTGGGCCAGCCATCGCCCTTCATCGCCCAAGTATCTTGTGGGGATTTTCTACAGATCTTGGAGGGCAGGGCTGAATGAGGGGTTCGTTACCTCGCCGTGAAGTCAACCATACTTCCTAGTCCTTGAAAGAGCAAACCTCATCATGGTGGTTCTAAGTGAAATCCCGGCTCACTGCTCTGTAGAAGTTTCAGTGCCCAGATCCCCACTCTCTACTGTGTTAAACAGCAGGCGAAGATGCTGCACTCACCTCACCCAAAGAACCAAAAGGCTCCCGGAGCCACATAAAACTAAAACTCAACAACCAACTCTTACCACGTCCTGATCCTTGACCTTCTCCTCTCTCTCAGCTTGCAAGTGAGGCAGTGCCAAGCAAAGGGTGTCATTTAACTTTTCATAAAATGCCTCAACCTTTTTGTTGTTCTCCTTCAACAAAATATTTTGAGTGAGTAATACTAATGCATTCCTTGGGGCACATGGGTGGCAACTGGGTAGCACCGTCGGTGGAGTGTCTGACTGCTTTTGTTTTGGCTCAAGGCCTGATCTCAGCATTATGGGATTGACCCCTCCATCAGGCTACAAACTCAGCTTGGAGTCGGCTTGGGATTCTCTCTCTCCCTCTGACCCCATTATTCACTCTTTCTCTCTCTCTCTCTCAAATCAATCAATCAGTTAATCTTTAAGAAATCAACAGGAAGTATGTTCTCAGACCACAAATGACAAAATTAACATCAAGTACTTAAAGATAGCTCGAGAATGACCAAAAAATGGAGAGTACACAACACACTTCTAAAGAACACATGGGTTGCGGGTGGATGGATGGATGAAAGAGGTGAAGGGGATTAAGAGTACACTTACTGTGATGAGCACTGAGAAATGTATAGAGTTTCTGAATCATGTTGTACACCTGAAACTCATATTACACTGTTTGACAATTATGTTTGAACTTTAAAAAAAAAGAACATATGGATCACGGAAGGCACTGCAACACAAATTTAAATGTATTTCAATCTAGGTGATCATAAAAATTGATGTATTAGAGGGAAATTTATATTAATGAATGGATAGAAAAGGTGAGGGACTATACAATTTTCTGCTCATTTTTGAAGAACAGTATATACAAGCTACTTTAGTATACTCACAGCGAGGATGGTTCTCCAGATATAAAGGAGAAACAGACAAATTCCCAAGGAGGCGGTGATAACTGGAAGTTTCCATAGAACTCCAACCCCATCAGGGCCAAGAGGGAAATAGTCAGGCACAACACGGACAAGCTGAAATAACACGTGAGACGATGAGGAATCTCAAAGATTTAAAATGTCTCTGTCCCAAACAATCAACTTTACAAACCCTCAACCAGCCTCCCCCAGGTAAGCACATCTCTTAACTGCCTCCCCATGAAGGAGAAGGAGCACAGAGGGATTACAAAGGAGCAAGGGCAAACTTTCTGGAGTGATGAGTGTGTTTACTACCTTACCGTGCTGATGGTTTCACTGTGTTTACCTATGTCACATACCAACAAACTGTATTATTTTTTTTTAAATTTTTTTTATTTATTTGAGAGAGAGAGAGAAAAACATCATGAGAAGGGAGAGGGTCAGAGGGAGAAGCAGGCTCCCTGCCGATCTGGGAGCCCGATGTGGGACTCGATCCCAGGACTCCGGGATCATGACCTGAGCCTAAGGCAGTCGCTTAACCAACTGAGCCACCCAGGCGCCCCCCCAACAAACTGTATTCTGGAAAAAGATGTTGTGATCATATATACAATATATCACACCGAAGCTGTAGGAAAAATCTAATAGGCACATCTAAGAGTTTTTATATTGACTACAAACACGTGGCAAATGCATCTTCTATAGCTAACAGAACTGAAGAATTTATAAGCCAACATAAAATAGACAAGTAAGTAAATGTAAACGTACAGTAGGAAAAAAGTCACTGACTTCTATTGTACATCCATGAAGGACCTGGATAAACTGCTCTGGAAAGTTTCTAAAAACATGCCCCAAGTTTATGGAAGGATGAGAGAAAGGAAGAATAAAAAATGTCCTAGACATATAAATGAGAATGTTCTATGGACAGAGATGTTTATAGATAAGGACATGAGTGAGAGAGAGACAGGAGCCTTCTCTTAGAATAATATGGGATTATTATTCCAACAAAAATCAAATAGAATTATTGTTCAGTTTCTGAAAACAGTGATGTTTTCTTTCAATGCCAACTTTGCTTCAGAATCACAGCCCAAACTTTCAGATATCAGGAGTCCATAAAGATTTTCATAATCTGGTGATCTTGTTTATTTGGATGATACATGTGACATTTTCAGTTCCTTGAACACCTATTTCCAAACAGCCAGTGA